TACATTTACTCCCATATGACATGCTGTATTACTAGGTCACATGTTGAACTGTAGTATTTAATATTACATGAACTCCAATGAAACAGGAATATGACTATGTGCCTGTTTAAGAAATAAAACAATGCTAATAAGTTATACATAAGCAGGGTTCTCCCCATGCTGGACAGCAGTGGACAGCGCCGTCCGGCACTCAGAAGTGATAAGTAAAATTAAATTTAAAAATAGTGTAATTTCAATTATACAAATAAGTGCTAAGATCCTAACTGACTTGTTCTACAATAGGTGATTTTCCGTTCAACTGCGAGATCTTGTGAGTTTCATGAAAGACACGCATTGAACATCTGCGGCAAAAATCAAACAATTTGATTTTGAACTCGAATTTCTTTAATACGTAGCTCACATCGGCCGGCCGATCTTTGACAGAGGAATATTGCATTTGAATACCCTTACTTAATCGAAATTGCCCATCATCAAATCTGTACAGCACATTATTAAGCGTGGAAATGTCCCCAAAATACTTTCGCGTTTGTCGAATCCCACGCGATGTTTGATGCCACTACGACGCTATGACCTCTGTTTGTCCTGTTTTTACGTTTGATTTCACGCATAACGCGTGATTCTCGCAGTGAACGGAAAATGGTCAATTAATATGTAATACATGTAATATACAACTAATACTTGAATACATTTTATTTATTTCAGTGGAGGAGTTGCATGTGGATATTTTGTGAGTGAACGTCAAACAGATGTGATTGAAAACTTTAGTGGTAATCTGCTTGGGAGTATTGATGATATGTTAAACTACATCAACAATACAGTGGATGTGAGTACTACAAAAACAATTTGAAGTCTTTAAAAGAAGTTCATTTAATCTATTACACAGGAATATAGGGAATATGTTTTAAACTATTGTATAATTTAAATATCATATTTTTCAATATTCCAAAATAGCATAAAAATATCTTTGTATCTCTTACTATTTGACTTATGCAGTTGAATACAAAATTATGAGATTATACTTTTTGAGTTTAATTATTGGCAGGTGGGGGGGGGGGGGGTTTAAATCTGAAGTTATTTGCAAATTCAATGCCCTCAATTTGCATGCCCATTCTTAGTTCTTTGATGAAACTTTATCACTCTATACACATTTGCAATTTTTATAGCTACCATATCAGTAATGGAATATGAAACAGTGACTTTAAATATAGTTTAAATTTAAATATTTATAAGGATGCTATATGATAAATACTGTTATTCTAATTCATCTATTAATGTGTACAGCATTCATACTGCTACAATTTTATTGATGTCAACTGATAGAAATTAATTACTATTATTATACATCTGTCACTGTAACGCCATAAGCGTGTCGTAATTTTGCGGTATTTTATGAGGTATTTTCATCCTACCATATTAGGAAATGCGAATTCCAAATAAGGAATGATTAAGTGCATAAGCATCCTCTAATAATAAAAACAAACATGGCTGCCACCAGGGTTTGACCGGACTCCACACAAAGAAGTTTGCTGATTCTTTTGCTGATGACATTTTTGATTTCGACATTCTCATGATGTATCCTTGGAGGAAAAGATGCATAATAATAAGGTTATTACGAGGATACCTCAAAGTATGCACTAAGACAGTACGCCGTCGCATTGACCTCCGCTGCGCATCTGTGGATACTCCTGCTGTACTGTCTTCATGCATACTTTGAGGTATTCTCGTAATAACCTCATATTATGATTATTATATTTTAAATTACATGTATGTATATTGTGAAAATACGTGTAAGATTTTGTTATCAGAGTTAGTCAAAATATTTGTCACACGCAACGTAATATTACCGTAATTGGTATAGTACAGGTGTGATGGTTCAAATACCAAAATGGCAACAGTAACAGAAAGACTTCCCTGGTGGCGATGATAAAATACGAACACGGAGTCAACAGATGAGGTTTCAACTGGTACTGGTATTATTTTACTCTGCAAACATCAAGTACAATGACGCGGTAAAACTCCACTACTCCAATAACTAGATACTTAAACTCCTGGTCCAATACAATTCAACGAGATCTCCGATCTGAACTCAGTGCTGAACAACTCCCCTATATATACCCACACTGTCTATAAATAGACCATTACATCAGCATACATAATGAGTCTGGAATTTACTATAAATTTCTAGAATGTTCCATTACCTTCTATTGCCTCCTACAGTGTTCTATTACCTATTCAACCAGTTTCTAAAAAAAATCTAGAATATTCCACCCAGACACAGTACGGTTCTAGAACATTCTCAGTGACACGGAAGTGGTAAATAAGTCGTATGCGACAATATTATACCAGGAACATTTAGGAAAGTTATCAGAACAAGCAATATCGGGGATTAGAATGAGACATTAAAGGCATTTGCCTTAGTGCCCTTTGAAAAAACAATGATTTTCTTTTTACTGGTACTATTCCTATGATGCCAAGGCAATTTTATAAAATTTTGTCTTGAAAATGAGTGTCCTCAACTCTGCAATAGTTTTCATTAGCGACCATAATTTCACAAACAATGGTTATATACCTGTTCAAATTGTCACAACAAGAGTGGTAGATTTACTTTAAAGTAAAAATAAAAGCAATCCTTAGGGAAAATAAAACACAACCTATGAATTATACTTTACCTTTAAAAGCATTACAAGAAATCAATTGTTATTCATCATTCAAAAGTTTGAAAACATTGACTTGTGCGTGCATTTGTGTGGATCCATGCATCTACCTGTTCATATTCAAGCATATCTCATTTGTGTGGACCTGTGCATGCATCCATTCATCCACCTGTTGGTATTCAAGCATATCTCATTTGTGTGGACCCGTGCATGCATCCATTCATCCACCTGTTCATATTCAAGCATATCTCATTTGTGTGGACCCGTGCATGCATCCATTCATCCACCTGTTCATATTCAAGCATATCTCATTTGTGTGGACCCGTGCATGCA